GTACATGTACTGCTTGATTCGTCTGCATGGTTTCTGTTTGTGGTCCATTTCAGTTGTTTTTGTATGTTTGTATGATCAACATCAATGTTTGGGTTGGGGTTAAAGGTTGTTGCGTATCCTTTACAGGACGTTGCAGAACCAACCCTAACAGCCCCTGGCTGTTGTGTGGTTTCTCTAGGCAAATTTACGTCCAGTAGTTTGCCATTGCCTCCTGGACGGTCGGCTTTCTTGATACCACTGTCGAAACCAACGCAAGGCGCATTGCCCGCAGCTGGAATCGAACCCGGCATCCCAGCATTACGAAGCGAAGTGTTCTCATCGACTTAGCCACAGAGCCGACTTTGGTTGGGGAATAAAAGAAATTAACAATCATGAGGACAACAATCAACACTCTTCTAAATCTAAAATGATTAAGATCTCTGACTTCTACGTATCATCTACAAACTTTAAGTATGCTGTCTCCATTCACAAGAGAGATAGAGAGCGAGAGAGAGGGAGAGAGAGAGAGAGAGAGAGAGAGAGAGAGAGAGAGAGAGAGAGAGAGAGAGAGAGAGAGAGAAGTAAAACTCGACGTAGGGAGCTTGCACACCTCAACAATTGTCTATTCCCTAGATAACATGGAAAGGAGAAGGGGGAAAAGTCGGGGGAGAAGGGTCATGACTCCCAGGCCTGGCCTGGTAAATATATTGATCCACCTTTTAGGCATAACCACGCCCTTCTGTATTATTGTGCCTGTCTGAGAGCATCAGGTAATACGTGCAGCAGGAGCAGATCAACCCTGAGCTTCATGAACTCAGGTGGGCCCACTCGCTGAAAATGTCTAGGAGCTCGTGGGCCCAACCATTTGTCAACGAGAGATCACTTCTACTGATGATTGGTAGACTACTGTTGTACTTGCTCCCCTGTGGAATTTTTTTTTTTATTATTATGCAGTGCTGTGGTTGCGCAACGGCGATGGTTTGCCTGCGGCCGGTTGGCAAGCGAGAGGTTTAGACATGCCCCTATAGTATGCTTGTACTTTATTAAAAGCAGGCTGGTGTACTGTAGCCAGATATGTGGATTCAGACCTTTTCGTTTTAAGCAGTCGGCAGAGAGACATTGAAGGACACTTTGCACATTTGTCTTTTGTAGGAATTACGTTCTTTTGTTTTCAGGGGCCCAGACCAGCCTACCGAGGCCCGTCCCTCGTAACGTCTCGCTGTGTCAAGAGCCAGGGCTCTCTCAGCGGCCTCATCCAGTTGTTTTAGTCGCATTTTATGCTGATTTCTTAGCAAGCTGATTTCGGCCCACGAGCTCCTAGACATTTTCAGAGAGTGCGCCCACCTAAATTCATGAGGCTCAGGGTTGGTTTCTCCTGCTGTACGTATTACCGGATGTTATCGGACAGGAACAAGACGAATTAGTGACTTTGCAATAAGAAGAAACTCCACAGGGGAGCATGTACAGCAGGGATCTACCAATCGTCAGTAGAAGTAATCTCTCAACGACAAACGTTTCGGCCCACGAGCTCCTAGACGTTTTCAGAGAGTGGGACCACCTGAGTTAATGAAGCTCAGGGTTGGTTTCCCTGCTGCACGAAATTACCGGATGTTGTTCGGATAGGGACAAGACGAATTGGTGATTTTGCAGAAGTCACTGTGAGATAAAAAGTCGTGGCGGTAGCATAATTAAAGCAGTCTGCACACCTGGACGACAAGCTTACGATTGGTATACCGGACACATGTTAGACTTTGTTAGCAGGTGGCAGAGGACCACTGGCAGACAATTCGGACACGATGGACTTTCAAGTAATGACACCCACACCCGCTAGACACCCAGACCAGCTCACCGAGGCCCGTCCCCTACGTTGTTTCGTTGCGTCCAGAATCAGCTCAAGGCCCTCTCAGCAACCTCGCCCAGCTGTTTGAGTGTCCGTTTGCGTTCATTACCGCGCAATCCTAGTTCTTTAACCACATTGTAGAGTGAAGTGGAAACGAGACCTCTCGCACCCACTTCGACGGCAAAGACACGTACTGTGTACGCCTCGTCTCTCCTCAGATTGGCTGCTAAGTCATAGTACTTCTCGAGCTTGTACATATGGCTTTCGTCCATTCGCGACTCATACGGGATCGTCAGCTCTATCAGGATGAGCTGCCGTTTCTCCACAGAGTGGAGAACTATGTCAGGGCGCAGGCCGGTCTTCCGATTCGACTCTGGGTACCTTTCATGGCCAGGCAGATCAACCGCCAGTAAGCAGTCCCTCGCAGAGTCTAGCATAGATGGAGCAAATGCGCCTTTGTTGATTTTTACCTTTTGAATTTGCCCAGCCTTGAGGAAGCGTATAGGGACGACGGTAGGACTGGCTATCACGTTAGTCCGCATCCTAGCCTGGTCCACAACGGCTGCTAACTCTTTTAGCACCTTGTTGTGGCGCGAGGTGTATCGGCCTTGACCTAGGGCTTTCCTGCATGCTGACAGAACGTGTTCTAGAGTCTGCTTCGCTCTGCACAGCGGGCATGTCGGATCGTTAGTCGCAGACCACTTAACCATGTTGACACGGGACGGTAATACATCGTACGCCGAACGAACGATAAAGCTCAGTCGCAGCCGGGTCATTCGCCAGATCTCACCTCAAGTGAGTACTCTTGACAATGCGCTCTCCAGGCTGACCTGCTGCGACTGCTGGGCTGCTTTCTGGACCCGAACCTCGTTTTCGTTGTCCCTAACCTGTTGTATTACTATGTTTCGGCGCTCTTTGGCTTTGGACCACAAATTGACCTTTCCGTGACCTAGGCCTCGACGGTCGGTTTGAGTGTATCCCAATATTTCCTACCATTTTAGTGCATTCTGAGCAGATTCGATCGCATCGAGGACTCTCCACTTCTGACCAGTCTTTAGAGCGGGCTGGACAGCGATGGCATTTGGGTCTGAAGACTAGCGCAAGAGCATGGCGAGTCTTACTTTGCCGACTTTACACTCTTCGGTTATCGATTTGAACGGGAGAACCAGCTTAGCCTGCTTACAATACAGAGCCACGTCAGTCAGACAAGGCGTGCACCAATCCACTTTTTTAAGGCTGTGTTGATTTTTTTCTCCATCGTCTCCACTGAAGTCATCGTCACCTCGTAGACTAACAGCGGCCAGAGAACCTTCATAATCAACATGAATTGTAGACACCAGACCTTGAACTTCCCGATCAGCCTGCTACGCTTGATCGCTAGCAGGCCTGTAGCCAGTGACTCGTGTATTTGCCGGACCTCCGCTCTATAGAAATTACTTCGAATCGTAAACGCGACCAAGGCTCTTCACCGGTTCCTCCAGACCGTGGGGATCTTATTCCTTGCCACCGTAAAACTGGTTGCCGCTACCTTACCTTTTAGCATTGACAGACTCCTCGACTTTCGCGGTTTGAATTGCATACCGCTCCATTGGACCACCTCGTCCAATCTTTTGAGAATTGTGCGAGCAGATTCCTCACTGTCCGTGATTATAGTCGTGTCATCCATAAATGCACTTAGTGGCGGCATCCAGTGATCCCCAGTCTGAAGGCCTTGTCCGTAGCCGGCCGCCCCGTCTAAAATAACCTGCATGACCATCACGAACAGTATAGGCGAAATCGTACACCCCATCGCTATCCAACCTGGAGTTCAGTCCAACCCGTAAACGTCGCGGTAGAGAACCGTAAAGCGAACTTAGAGAAGTATAGTTTAATCATCTCGGTGATCTGTACCGGTACGTGGAACTTGCGTAGGGGCTGCCAAAGAAGCTTATGGGGAACTGCCCCGTAAGCATTCGCTAGATCCATCCATATCACGTGTATCTCGTTTCTCCCTGCCTTGGCTCTATGGGTGCTCTCCCAAATCATGGTCGCGTGATCTAGACACACGAGAACGCCCAGGATGCAACCTTTTTGCACCGTTGTGTCTATGTTATCTATCAAGTACTGTGTTAACCTGCGCGCCATAACCGATAGGCTGGTGGAGTCTTTCTCCTTTGGGATGTACACTCCGTTGGGTTGCTGCCACTCCGAACATATGTGCTTTAGGCTCCAGGCTAATCTTAGCAAGCGGCGAAACATTCAGAGAATTTAGGGACAGGGCTTGTACAAGACGTACGGAACACCACTGGGTCCTGGAGCAGATTTGCCTCTAGCTTTTTTTCACAATATCTTCTACTACGGGCCAGAAGGGAGGCATCGTTTTGAATTTCACCTTCGGGAACTCTGGCCGCAGCAGGACGCTTGTGATCTTTGGGTCGTCAGCAAGAGGTTCGTTCCTTGTCCTGTCTGAGTACATCTTCCATAGATGCGATTTTAACTCCTCTTTACTGACAACCACAGTCACAGACTTTGGTTGCTCGAACAAACCTCAGGCAAACTAAAATCGGTACCTAAAGAAATTTTATCACGTCTATTTGGTTCTCTGTCTGTTCGTAAAGAAACGCTCGGTACGACAGAGGGCACTGTGTCTGGCTCTCAGGTGACTCCAGACCTCGTACTGCCCCTTCTGTTTACTGCCCGTAGCGGCTTTGAACCGTTTTCTGAGTTTATTCTTGTCAGCTCTGCACTGTGCAATCTCTCTCTCTCTGTCTCCTGCTTTTCGCTTGCCTGGCGCCCGGCTGGACCTTTTCGACTGTCCCGCACAATGCGTATAAATATTGTCTCTGAATCTCGTTAACTTGTCACCTACCTTCTTGTTTCTTGAGTTCTTTATTAATTTGATTGATACCCTCGGTAACGACTTTGCTAGCCCCCGGACTGAGATACTCGCCCAACGTCCGGGCTGGCTCTGTGCATGTGGAAAAAGCTTCACGGGGTTGCATGGTCTGAGAACGCATGCCGGAAGAATGAAATGCGAGGGTGTTCCACGCAGTAAACGCCGTCGCAAAACTACCACTCCTGTGGTAGTTTCTGAGTCGTCAGGGTACGACGGGCAGGGTGAACCCCACTCGCCCGGAGAGGCCCATGACGTCGACTGCGGGGGAGCACCTTTGATGATTTCCGAAGAAGTGCGTTCCAAGAT